ATTTTCTTTAAAATAAATATTTGAATTATTAGATCAAGAAGAGTTGCCATACTTCTTGAATTGGGACCATACAGCAGTTTGGTAGACTCTGTACTTCCAGTATCATACACTATTGGAACAGCAGGACCATTATCAACGTTGCATGACCCTAATCCATACCTCACAGGGAATTTCTACAGAAGAAAATATTCACAATAATTTGCCTGTGTTTTTGTGAATGTATCAAACTCCAGAACTGGCATCTAAAGTGAATCTGACCTTGAATAAATTGAAAAGGTTTCCTCCATGTAGGGTTAGGAAGCGATTGTCAGTGTGGTATCTCAGGATGGAGGCAGTAGTCCAACGCTCCAACTCAATGTTATTAGGAACGTGCCACACAGACACATCCTGAGCCGGAATGTCAAAGTATCCAGGATTCTGTGACAGAAATGAAACATCTAAACATCTGAAGTATATATTTTTTCTTAATATACCGGCTGCTGAATGCTTGATTCTGATTGACTGATGAACATAGTTGGGCATTTATTTTCAGATAAACACACAGCTAAATAGTTCCAGGCTGGTATTAACCGCATTACAGTTTCATATCACTACGCTGAATAATGTCAGTTATTTCACAGCCTACAACATCCAAATATAGAACAAAATAAAAGACTTTGGATAAAATATCATTAAGTTTGGTAACCAACTTTGCATTGACCACATCACCACCTTAAGTGTTCATTATTTGGTAATAATTTATTGACCCACTATCAGTTATTCCTTACTTTTTTAAACTACAGAAAAGTAATAATAAAATATACCTTATAATCGTCACTTGTAGAGGCCTCTACACTTCCAAATGTGACTGTATTTGCCCATGTCCCTTCACCATTAGGCCTGTTTGGGTCACTGCCCTGCTCACTAGACCAGCGGTCACCAACTGTACATTTTCCATACATGTTGTTTTCATGAACACTGGCCACCAGCGTCCAGCCGCCACCTGCAGTGGTCATGTCACAGTATGTCTGGTAAAGGACTCCTTTTGAGGAGATCAGGTAGTACAGGCCATCTGTGTGAACAAAGCATTCCTCAAATTAATCCTGTTGATGTCTATATATTTACATATTTATTCATGTTGTCCCATGACAAAAACAAAAAACCCTTTTAACAAATTTATGTGGATTGAACATAAAACTATTAAGTTGTCCCAATGAAATGTCAAGAATTGTGTTGTTTTAGCTCATTGAGTAGTTTAAACAAGTTAAAAAATGTTTTTTGAATATATATATATATATATATATATATATATATATATATATATATGTATGTATGTATATCATAATGAACATACCATCGTAAACCTGATACTTGTCATGAATTTCTTTGCAGCTTCGGGCAGCATATTTAATCCTGCCCTGAAGTTTTGCTATTTCAAGATTGGGGCTGTCATCACTGTTTTTGTTGCATGGTTTATCTTGGTTATCCACTGCAATATGAGACAATAAATACTTGAAAAGTAATTATTAAGATAATAATTTTTTAATCCAAACATTTTATTGCAAATTACTTACAAAATATGATGCTTGCAGCCTCGCAGAGCAATAAATTCAGTGAAAGACTGAGAAAGATGCTGAAAAACATTTTTTTTTTCGAAAAGGAAAATCTGTGAATATAAAAAGAAAACTTATTCTCATTTACACTTAACACTGCAAAATTGAAATTGTCAGGTATTGTTACAATGTTTTTTGTGAAAATTCACTTTTTAAAAATATTGTTTTTTTTAACATGAAGTTTTGGTTCAAAAATTCTTACAGGTTTTTCTTTTTATTTTGTCTTGTGTTCCTCTCTTCTGGGGTGGTGAGATCTGTTGATGCTTCAGGTTTCTAGATGAGTCCAAAAGTAATATCAAGGCATAGTATCAAGTTCAGTATTTATACATAATCAGACGCCGAACACGGAAAAAAAAGGAAATATGATACTGACCTCTTGAACGAAACTTAAATACCTTGTACCAAGTGGAAAATATGATTAGAGCCAAAGAAAATAAGTGATGGAATGAGTGAAATGAGAATTTTTTTGACATATCAGTTTACAATAATATAAAACACAGAAGAGAAAGCTAAAAATCACATACAATAAAGGTTCACTGTCAGTTGTCAATATGAAGTGATTATATGAATCACAGATCAAGCAGATATTAATTTTTACAAGGGCATCTTGCATTTAGTCAGCATGGCAGATTTGTGTGACCAAAAAGTACAACTTGCACAATTTATGAGGGGAGATCTTGCCATAACACACACACACAAAAAATATTTTGTATAAAGATAGTCGTCTTTTAGATCACTACATTTCACTGAGACATGTATTACATGTGACTGATAGAATATGGAAAGCTGTAGATGGTGGCAAATATTGTGGGATGGTCATGCTGGACCTCCAGAAGGCATTTGGTAGTGTAGATCACAAAATTGTAATGCATAAATTAAAATTTAGTTTTGATCAGGAGTCCCTAATGTGGGTTCAGTTCTATCTGGATAATAAAAGCAAGAGAGTTGATATTAATTATATTCGATATGGTCCCCCATCATTCAGTTGTTGAGTTCCACATATTTTAAGTATATTATTATGAAAGATAAATTGTAAAACTCTCAAAATAAGTTTGCCACTGATTTCTGTACACCCAGTGCTATTAACATAAATTAGTTTGAATAATTTTAAAAGTCCATCCTAGAACGCATTTGTGTTAAGAATGAGAAGGATCTGTATGCAGTTGCCAGGTGTCCTGCATGCAATTCTTTTTGATGTGCAACCCTAACCCTACCCCAGACAGTTTTATGACAAGCTCCATTGAGTGCATTGTGTCTGACATTGCATCTTTGGTATATGCAGCCTCAGTTTGCAAATCCAAGTCCGCATCCAGATACTATTGGAGAAAGTAGTTGGAATAACTAACTAATGACTCTGGTATTTATTTTTATGTTCTTGTATGTGTGGTGTTGTTGTGCCTTTTCTTCAAATACTTGCATCAGTGTTGCTACTACCTGTCTGTTGACTATCTGCTTAACATTTAGAAGAGATACTTGCAATTTTTATTTTTATTCTTGCTTGTTTTATGGAACCTGTCATTTAAAATTCTATTTAATTAAATTTATAACAATGCAAACACGACAGATTGAATCCATAAAAGGGTTTTTATTTAATCCATTCTTGTCATACTCTCTCGAAGTTGTGACACTTTGATTAATTCCACTGGAAACAGGAAGAAACAGGCCATAAAGAAACATTGTGTCAAAACACAAAAATGCGTTCTTGGCATTTTAAGAGAATGTGAACATGACAAGTAGACTCGTGCCAGGTCTGAAAGCTTCATGTGATGTTTTATAAACAAATTTCATGAGAGCAACATGCAGATGTTTTGACAAGATTATTAAATTCATCATTGACAATTATTCTATTATCCAGTGTGTGTAGCCCATAGATATATACATTAGATGTCGCCTGGCCTATTGTTGTCTATTGGACGGAATGCGTCAATAACGCCGCCATCTTGCATCAGTGTAGCGCTCCTTTGAAATTAATGCGGGACCAAGCTGCAGTGGAGAACTGTGGCCATCAAGAGCCGGAGATATACACACATACACATATATCTATGATCGGGAGTTTTCCTGGATGTTAGTAGGCTATGTAAATTTTTTTTTTCTAATCACGAAAATTATAGTTTCACATCACTTTTCTACATTGATGGATCAGTGATTACACGGGTATTCCTGACAAAAAGCTTGTGTTTGTGTGTACAGAAATGTACTATTCACCCTCCCTGCTAAATTTAATCTAATCCGTATCCTGAAACACACCTGCTCTCCTGCTTTCACTTCTCATACTGACGGAGGGAGTGATTCGTTTTTGAATGAATCTTCGTTATGAACGACTCGTCCACTAGCCGACAATAATACATTCTGGCAGCGCAGCTTCTCGTTGTCATATTTCTTTTGCATTGTTTGCTGATTTTATTAAACAAAACTAGCATAAGCCGAGTGTTTAGTGCGAGTTGGAGCTGCTTTGCCGTATGGTAACTGTTATCATCAATTAACGCTACCTGATTAGCACAAAAGTTCAGAACATACAAAAACAGAAAACACTTAATCTTACCTATGAAATGTTCCACCTTTGTGCTTTGTTTTTCTTGTTTGCTCGTTACTACACCCGTAGACAGCGCTAAAATCCCGCATCTTCACGTAATTACACTGTCTGTGCGGTTGAATGACATTTGTCCTGGGAGCACTGTACCAATGTGGCGGCGCTATTGACGCATGCTCAGGGTCCCGATGCGATATCTAGTGTATATATCTATGTGTGTAGCCAACTAGTTCCAGGAGGAAATATTAAGAATTAACCATAATTAATTATTATAAATTATAATATTTAGATGAGCTCTACGCTTTTACTTGTTATCTTTGGATCAAGTGTTCATTCATTTTAATGTTTTTTTCTGGGTCATATGAAATAACCTTTTTAAATTGAAAAACCAACAGAGCACACTTGGCATGATTAGGGACACTAGTTATAAGCAAATAATGTGCAACATCAAGTGTGATACAAATAAGGCTTTACTAACTACAATAAACAGTTAAACTAATCTAACATACACACATTCAGTTGGTATAGGAAAAGGCAGTAAATTGTAAAGAAGAAAATCATGTTATAGCAGAATTTGATATTCAGCAGATCTACAGCCTGAAGGAAACATCATTTTCATAACTCAAGCAGCTTTGCAGAAAGGTTTAGATCAGTGGTTCTCAAAAATTTTTCATTAAGTACCACCTCAGAAAAAAATTGTCTCTCCAAGTACCACCAAAATGAGCAGTATTGAAATACAGTAAGCGCAGTAGACCCAGTAAAGCAGCTATAACTCTGCACAGTAAAACAAACGTGGCAGATTACCTCAGAAATATAGGCTATATGTCATATATGGCACATTATATACATAATTTTTAATACATTTTGAAATTGTAGGAAAGTCCTATACAGGGTTGCAGTTCTTATGAGTATACCCTAGATGGAGCACCTCTCTAATCTGACCGACATTCACTACTTTCGCTTTCAAGAGCAAGCACATGGCAAAAATCACTTGTGAGGCACGATGAGAAGGCAAACATCTATCCTGTGTGCGTTCATGCCAAGAAAGTAAGTTTATTTACTGATTCCCACCAAAAATATGGGTAATACTTATGTTAATACTGTTGTAACAATATCTGTAATGTTGTATTTCACCTTTAATGCATATATTTGCATAATCTTATGTTATATGTTAATCTGTGTTGGGAAGCTAATATGCTAGTCCAAACTATTTATGCCATAGTATGTCTCCTTGTTGGATTAATGTTTATATTTTGACACATGGTGTAATGTTGAGTCATTTCTAAACACTACAGTTTGACAGTGAATTTATTCCTACACCTAAAGATTATTTTCTGTTGTAATCTGAATGGAAATGTTTGACTGTTATTTGTTAATTGCTAAACCTGTAATATTTTTTTGATACTTAATTTGTTCTATTTTATGTTTCAGACCACACACACACACACGCACTCACACCAGATGTGTTTTCCTCACATCCCCTCTGTACCTATAACAACAACGGTAATCTGTACCATTATACCGACTCATTAAAGCTATTTTTGGATGAAACTCTCCGAGCCCTTTACTCTCTTACCGGAGTCTCCAGTTTTCAAGGACTATCAGAACATTCCAGAGGTTCCACCTCAACAGAAATATATGTAGCATGTACATGACATTTTTCATTCCTCCGTGTACCACTAGAAGGAAGCCCGCGTACCACTAGTGGTACATGTACCACAGTTTGAGAACCACTGGTTTAGATGATTCTTAATGTATCTGTTACATAGACTACATTTGTGTCAATGGTGCTCTTTTTGACTTTCAGTATTGTTCCACCGGGTCCCCTCAGGTTTGCTTCCTGGAGTGATAGACTTTCTCTTCATTCATTCATTCATTCATTCATTCATTTTCTTTTCAGCCTAGTCCCTTTATTAATCCGGGCTCGCCACAGTGAAATGAGCCGCCAACTTATCCTAGTATGTTTAGACGCAGCGGATGCCCTTCCAGCCACAACCCATCACTGGGAAACATCCACACATACATTCATTCACACTCGTACACTAGAGACAATTTAGCCTACCCAGTTCACCTGTACCGCATGTCTTTGGACTGTGGAGGACACCCACACGAACGCAGGGAGAACATGCAAACTCCACACAGAAACGCCAACTGACCCAGCTGAGGTTCAAACCAGTGACCTTCTTGCTGTGAGGCAACAGTACTACATACTGCACCACTGCGTCGTCGACTTTCTCTTCAGTTGAATGTAAATAAAACCGAAGACATAGTGATAGATTACAGTAAAGGTTCTCCTACTGGCAGCATAACAAATTTTAAAGGCTTGGACATTGAAATTGTTGACATAAATATCTAGGGGTCGTTATTGACAATATGTTGACATTATAACCTAACACCCAAGCTCTCTATAAAAAAAATTCAACAAAGACAGTTTTTTAAAGGAAACATATCATTTCAGGTTTGTACCTATGATGACACTGTTTTATAAACAATTTATTGAATCTTTCTTATCTTTTTGCATTGTAGCTTGGTATGGTAATCTGAGTGTGTTAAATAAGAACAGGCTGGTGAAGGTGGTGGGCAAGATCATCGGTTTTTAACCAAACTGGTCCAATTGTAATTTACCATAATTATGTTTTTAAAAAGAGTTCAGGGTATTCTATGCACCCCGGATCACCCATTGTACTCAGTGTTTCAGCTGCTGCCATCAGGTTGTCGTTTACGAGTTCCTGTTTGCAGGACAAATAAAATTAGAAATTCTTTTTTTAATGATGGCCATTAAGTCATTATATGAGTCCAAGCGGGAGGGAGATGCACCTACAAAATTATGTGCTATATGTTGTGTGGTAATATTTTGTTTATGTGTACATGTAACTTTGCATGTGTTAGGGCGCCTTGCTGCAGTTTTAGTTTCCCTAAACAGAATAATAAAGTTGAGTATGAGTCTGATACTTGCACTCCCCATTTGAAAAGAGTGCTGATGCATTTTGTTGAGGCTCTAGTTGATTTTTGCTGAAGTTAGTTGATGAGAGATAACCAGTCTGGAGATCTTTGATGAATGGAAAGACAAGACCTTTCCATTAATTACACTTATTTTTCAAAGGGAAGTTTTACAATCCTTTGTCCCTATAAGCTTGGTGATTTGCATATGCAGGAATAGTAACGAGATTAGATTGAAATTATGTGGTCATGAATAAGAATGAAATGAAATACTGGCGACGCAGTGGCGCAGTGGGTAGCACGTTCGCCTGACAGCAAGAACGTTGCAGGGTTGCTGGTTCGAACCTCTGCTCAGTTGGCGTTTATGTGTGGAGTTTGCATGTTCCCCCTCAGTCCAAAAGCATGCGGTACAGGTGAATTGGGTAGGCTAAAACTGTCCGCAGTGTATGAGTGTATGTGAATGTTTCCCAGACATGGGTTGCGGCGGGAAGGGCATCCGCTGCGTAAAAAAAAACTTGCTGGATAAGTTGGCGGTTCAATCCGCTGTGGCGAGCCCAGATTAACAAAGGGACTAAGCCGACAAGAAAATGAATGAATGAATGAAATACTTTTAAAACACTAACTTTCCTTAGACCTAGTCCCTGGTTATCAGGGGTTGCCACAGTGGGACTTGAACCAGCAACCTTTTTGCTGTGAGGCAACAGCGCTAACCACTGAGCAACCTTTTTTTTTTTTTTTTTGCTTAACCTAAATCAAGGAATGCCTTTTTTAAGCTCTCAGCCAGTCTCATTGCTTTTTTCTGTTTTCGCTGCTTTCTGTCCTCTAATGCACAGCACAACAACTAAACTTCCATATAAATGAGTTAGAAATCAGAAATTTCCTCTTTCAAATGAACATAGAGTAGTTTTTCTAAATTACCTCTTTCATGCTGTATAATAGTGTTGAATACTGGCTTCCATGACATAAGATGCATTCATAACATTTTAAATTTTATGCCTATTAAGAATCGTGACAATTGTAGCCACAAACATTTGGAAACATGCAGACTGGAAAAAAAGTGAAGTAAGATTGAACAGAACCTACTATCTTTATTTGAACGCCATACATTTGTATCCACTTTTGAACAGCAGGAAGAAACATAAACAATGAGAGGTTTTAGATCTAGCAGAAGCTCATTAAATAATTAATGTTAAAGGGTGATTTTCTGTTTCAGTTCCAAACACCACGACCACATATTTGTTAATTACAGATCAATATAAAGGATATATAGTATGCTAAAGAAAAACATTCAATCAATAATTGCTTTTGCAACATTCAGCTGTAAACCACTGTGGTATGTCCTGGAGAGGATAGAATGGTGGTGTTTTTAGGTTATCAGCGATAAAAGAGAAGTACAGCTGCTTCAGTTATTTTTTTGGATGCACTCCATCCTGCATTAGTGCCATAACCATCCCAGTCAAAACCTGCAAAGTCCCCACACTGTCTAGGGGATGCCTCAGGAAAGTATCCACCGCCGCCAATGCAGATCTGCAGGAATATAAATGATTAAAACTCCACTTTTTAAAAAATATTTTTAATGTATTACTGTAAATGTACTTCAGTTTCTGTGCTCTACATTATGAAACATTGACACACAAAACAGATGGGCAAATAAGCACCACGCACAACTTCACTCAGTCTTGTATCATGGTGTGTGTATTTCTTAGCCATTCTTTGTTATCCAAATTGTTTGACGAACAACCATCATGTCACAAATACTTTCCATATATTGATTTAAATAATCAAGAATAGTCTTGACTCACATGTTCAGAGTTACAGCCAGTCGGTTTAACACCTGAGCAAAGAGCCAAGGCTGCTTTTTCAGTATTGAAGACTCTGAATGTGATGTATCCAGGTGCAAAGTTTGCTGGAAAAACAATCATTAAATTAAATACATCTCAACAGCGGTGATGCTTTGTAGAAAATATAGATCACTGAATCACATTCAATGTTACATGGCAAAAAAATTATTGCATCGTTTTGTAGTCATACTTCTTGTATTGGGACCATACAGTAATTTGGTAGACTCTGTATTTCCAGTATCATACACGATTGGGACAGCAGGTCCGTTATCGACGTTGCATGACCCTAATCCATACTTCAGAGGGTATTTCTATAGAGGTGAGAATAAAAATAATTTAATAACAATTTGCCTGTATTTTTGTCAAATAGTTTTGTCAAATTTTAGCAAAACCCATAACGTATTTATCTGACCTTGAATAAATTGAAAAGGTTTCCTCCATGTTGGGTTAGGAAGCGATTTTCAGTGTGGTACCTCAGGAAGGAGGCAGTGGCCCAATTTTCCAACTCAATGTTATTAGGAACATGCCACACAGACACATCCTGAGCCGCAATATCGAAGTATCCAGGATTCTGTGACAGAAAGTAAATGGACCATTCTTTTGATTGTTACTCTAATGTCTTTATTTATTTTATTATGTTGACTATGGGGCTGTTGACTACTTGGCTATTCAAATGGCTATGAACATATTTGTTGGGCATTTATTTTCAGTTAAACACACCATTAAATAGTCCCAGGCAAGTCTTGACCACATTACAGTTTCATATCACTACGCTGAATAATGTCAGTTATTTCACAGCCTACAACATCCAAATATAAAACAAAATAAAAGACTTTGGATAAAATATCATTAAGTTTGGTAACCAACTTTGCATTGACCACATCACCACCTAAAGTGTTCATTATTAGTAATTAATTGGCTCAATGGTTATTCCTTACTTTTTATTAGGGAAAGGTAATAATAAAATATACCTTATAATCATCACTTGTAGAGGCCTCTACACTTCCAAATGTGACTGTATTTGCCCATGTCCCTTCACCATTAGGCCTGTTTGGGTCATTGCCCTGCTCACTAGACCAGCGGTCACCAACTGTACACTTTCCGTACATGTTGTTTTCATGAACACTGGCCACCAGCGTCCAGCCGCCGCCTGCAGTGGTCATGTCACAGTATGTCTGGTAAAGGACTCCTTTTGAGGAGATCAGGTAGTACAGGCCATCTGTGTGAACAAAACATTTTTCAGATTAATTTTGCGGTTACTTATATTTAAAAATTTCTCTCTTTCTTTCTTTCTTTCTATATATATATACATATATACACATATATATATGAGCAATAACACATGAGTAGCAGTGCGAAATGGCTGTATATAGGCACTGGTGGGAGGCGTGCGTTGGTCCCAGGCCGAGTGCCTTAGTGCCCCCACCAGTGCCGTTATACAGCCATATCACACTGCTACGAGTGTGATATTGCATTTATACAACAGTTTGACAGCACAATTATGTATATAAAAACAAAATCAAACATGGAGAGTCTCAAAAACCCTTTTGTATGAGGAACTACTGAATTAAATCAAAAGCTGACAGTTAAACAGCTGAGCAAGCATCTTTTAAAGATTCTAACGACACTTTAGATCTGTAGTGTCTGCTTGTTGCTGGCTGTATGTGGGCAGAGTAATTCACAAAGGGTAAAGAGGCTGTAGGTGTGCTGATATTACTTAAATATATCACGGCTATCAGCCAATCAGATTCGAGAACCAGACAGAACTGTTGTATAAATATATATATCCATCATAATGAACATACCATCATAAACCTTATACTTGTCACGAATTTCTTTGCAGCTGCTTGCAGCATAATTTGCAAATATTTCAGCATATTTAATCCTGCCCTGAAGTTTTGCTATTCCAAGATTGGGGCTGGCTTCTCCATTTGTCTTGCATGGTATTTCTTGGTCATCCACTGGAATGAGACAATAAAGACATAAATTTTAAAATCTTAAAATAAATTTGTTTCAGTGAAAGAATATTAATAAAGATTACTTACAAAATACAATACTTGCAGCCTCACAGAGCAATAAATTAAATGAAAGACTGAGAAGGATCCTGAAAAACATTTTTTTTTCAAGAAGGACAATCTGTGAATGAAAAGAGAAAAGTTATTCATAGCTGCATCAACACTGCAAACGGAAATTACCCTTCTTCCTTCAGCGTTGTTGTGAAAGATTATTTTTCTTTTTTTAGTTATCATTTTACGTTTTCACAATTGTAGAGTGCAAGAATTCTTACATATTTGTTTATTTTGTCCTTGTCGTGAGTTCCTCTCCTCTGAGTTAGCGAGATCTGTTGATGCTTCTGGTTTTTGGATCAATCCAAGAATAAAATTAAGAAGCTTGGTAGAGCCTATTTAAACTTAATCAGGAGTGAGATATAAAAAAAAAGATCTGAAACTCTCCTCTTATATTAAGCCAAGATTAAAGCCTATTAAATAAACATATGAAGAACATGCGTCATAGAATGAGTGAAATAAGGATTCTGTTGACCTAGAGATCATTGTACTATAAAAAACACACTGAACTTAAAGCATACTCAAATCTTTGTCAGGGTGTGGATTTTTGTCTGAAGTTCACATCTATAAAAGTTCATTGTTAGTTGTCACTCAAACATCTTTCTGTTAAACAATTCATTTGTATAATCAACAAGACTTTTTTGCACAATGTACTGTATGTGGGGAAATCTTGGCATAATGGAAAATTCTTGATTGTGTGGAGTTCTATTAAAATGACTGGATTTCTCCATGAAAAAAAAATTATAAAATAGCTAAATATGACACACACACCCAATAAATGACATTTGCTCTTTGATCAAACTATTTATTTAAAATGAGATGAAACACCACAATTCTTGATTCTTTAATTTTTGGGGACAGTCTAATAGTTTTTTGTTCACTTAATTAAAATTTGTAAAAACAAATAAATGTATTTAATTATTTACATTCAGCTCAATCTCTTATTTATCAAGGGTTGCCACAGAGGAATGAACCGCCAACTATTGGAGTACATGTTTTACACAACGGATGCCCTTTCAGCCATAACCCAGAACACAATTACATTTACACATACACATACACACACACACACACACACACACACACACACACACACACACACACACACACACACACACACACTCATGTGGGGGCAGAACATGCAAACTCTAGAAATGCCAACTGGCCCAGCCAGGACTGGAACCAGCAATCTTGCAGTGATGTGACAGTGCTAACCACTGACCCGAAAAAAGAACAAGTTAACCTAATTCCTTCATGTTATCCCAACACAAATCAGTTTTGTGGAAACCATTTTTTTACAGTGCAGTTTTAGCCCCAAAACAGCTTTTATCGAATTCAAGCTGATACATTTAATAGTCCTTGATTTAAGTGATAGTTTATCAAAAACCTATTCCAAACCTTTATAAGATTTTTTCTTTTGTTAAACCCTAAAGAAAATAGTTTGGAAAATGTTGGAAACCTGTAACCATTGATTTTCATAGTAGGCTAGTTAAAACAAATATGAAGGTCAATGGTTATCATCAATTTTTAAAAAGACTAATATTGTGTTTAACAGAGTAACAGAGGGTTTAACATGGTTGAGTAAATGATGACAGATTTTTTGTGTGTGTGAACTATCCCTTAAGCAAAGCACTGAATCATCAAGTATCACAAAGATGATGAAAGATAGAATTGCAATGGTTTGATTGATGCCACTAGAACCGAGAAGTAACGTGCCTCAAGGTAACAGTGTGCCAAAACACACAAATGCATTCTTGGCAATTTGATAGCCTGTGTACGTGGCAGGTACACCTGTGAAAAGCCTCACGTGCCCAGATATTGTGATATGCTGAGGAAATAATTAAAGTTAGTTTAATTATGTATAAAGTGTTTATTGATATACAAACTTGTATGTATTTTGCTTTTTAACTTCTTTATAGCCACATTAAACGCACAATTAAGCAGAAACTGAGAAGTTTTTTTTTAAATCGAAGAGTATAAAATTGTGCAAAAGGTTTTGTAAACACGACAATTAAATGTATCATAATGGTTCATAATAAATTCTTCCCACACTCGCACTTAAATACTTGAGCCACAGAAATAACTAGCCTGATCTCACGAGGAAACGTTATGTTTTGGTACCAGCCTTCATGTAAGTAACCAATAATCAAGAGCAAGGAGAAGTGTGACTTGTGTATTTCCAAACGCTGAAAACCCACAACCCTATACTCTCAGTCTCCCAACTACTAACACATTCACTGCTAAGTTTTATATATATGTATATATATATATATATATATATATATATATATATATATATATATATATATATATAAAGTTTTACTGGTTAATTAAACTAAAACTCATTAGGAACTTTTGTTGATAAGTTACTTTTTAGAGCAGGAACCACGTGACTGAGTTGCGGCGGTTAGACTGTATTTAAATATGCAACGTTTATCTCGATGTTTATCTCGTTGGCACAACGAGCTGTTATTAAACGATATGATAATTATTATTTCTTCTTTGCTTTTAATTTTTCTCAAAATTTAAACAGAAAGTAAAATAAAAACGCCGAAACAAAAATGCCAGAGGGGAAACCAACAAACCGGTGAGAATTAAGAGCTGAATCAGCAACAGCTAAATTAAGTTAACGCTAACGTTAGTCCAAAGTGACAAATTGAAGAGTTGATAGTTACTGATATTTAAACTGACACGATGATATTGTTACCTGGTGTAGTGGACTATTCCCTCAGCATACATTAACTATAATTTATTTATTTATTTTTTTATATAACATCCCTAACGTTAACGTTACTCAACTGTAGTCTAGCGTAGTAAGAAGTGTCTGTCGAACAAAATATTAGGCCTAAATAGGATTTAACTATACATATACAAATAAAAACCTACAAGTAAAATCAGAATTAATTGTTCAATTGTGATTTTGTGTACAAGAAAAAGAACCATTTGGAATTAGTTTTTCCATTACAGGACATATCTACAGTAATATCTACTTAGGATTACTTCAATAGATGCGTTGGATGTGCTGCAGAGATATAATATTTAATAATAACATTTTGTAAAATAAAGAAACCAAACTTATCATTTTATATTTTTCTGTAGTTGAACCTCATATAATAAACTAGTAATTATAAAATAAATCACTGGAAATTTGTAATGTTTTGCTTAAAATATCAAAAATGTACGTAACGTTAATGTTTTTTTTAGGAATAACCAATGTGGCCCGATGCTGACTGTAATAGGCACCTGCCACAAGAGGGCAGTACATTTACTTGAATTGTTTCTTCAAAAATCTTCAACTGGAGATTTTCCAAGCTACTTCCTCTTGCTGACAAACTGGTATGTATTTGTGTTAACAGGCTTTTAAATTTCATAACCAAGTCCCAATGCACTTTAGCAGAAATAAATGTGTCGTGTCAAATGGCATGATCTTGTGTATTTGTCATTTTAGTCGTAGGTATTTTGTAACAGTGTTGACACTATAGACCACTGGCATACACACACCGTGTCGACATTCTGACCCTCGGTTATTGTAATAGAGACCTCCAGGTCAACTACACTGCTATGATCACAGTCTGAAAGAGCATGAATAATAGATAGTGTGCACTGCTGTGTGTTTTTGGAAGGAGGATGGTAGTAAATCATCACACATGACAGTTTTTAATCTTCCAGATTAATGTCATTCTTCAAGATGCAAGGAGGAAAGAGTGATTAGTGTGCTTGACTTTGTCATTGCTCCTTTCCTTTATTGTTCTTCTCTCATATCTACATTTTCTTTTCTGAAAGCTCCAAAACCCTTTATTATACAAAAAGTATCTGTGACGTTTCAGTATATGAAGTATATACACACACACACACACACACACACACACACACACATATATATATATATATATATATATATATATATATATATATATATATATATATATATATATATATGTGTGTGTGTGTGTGTGTGTGTATGTATGTATGTATGTTAGGGCTGCACAATATATCGCTTTAGCATCAATTTCACAATGTGATCATATGTAATAGTCACAGGATATCCAATGTAGAGTTTGTATCATAATTCATCATTTGCATGTAATTTTTATGCCTGTGATTGTATAATGATTCATTCAGGTATATGAAATTCTACCATTTGTGACCCTAACTATAGTTCATTTTAATTATTAAAATTTTTATAATTTAATTACTGTACTTGAATACTGTTAGACAATATGAATTTCTCACATTTATCTGTTTCTAACTTGATTTTGTAAGATATTAATTAATTTTTTAATGAATTTTAGAATGCATATTTTAATTAAACCTATTCAGATGCAGCTTATTTAAAAAAAGCATGCTTTTTAAAGCCAAAAAGTTTGTGTCATAAATTAAATGCTGAATCTTAATATTTCTTCATACACTCACCGGCCACTTTATTAGGTTCACCTGTCAAACTGCTCGTTAACGAAAATTTCTAATCAGCCAATCACATGGCAGCAACTCAATGCATTTAGGCATGAAGACATGGGCTGAGTCCAAAACCGCCTACGACTCAGTAGGTACTGCATTTAATTTAAACGTATTACTCGGCCGTTAGAAAAGTACGTTCTATACAGTATGAACGTGAAAAGTATGAATGGAATTCGCACGTACTACATCTGCCATTTTGTCATGGTCATGTGACCTACCTGCGTCAATTGCGTCGCTTTACTCCCATTCATGAATTGCATGGGATGCGCACTCTAGAATCTCGCCGGAAGTAGTAAGTCATTCGGGTACTTCTCGTATACTGATTTTCAAATTCTAAGAATTCGGACATTCTACTCGGCTCGCATAATGATTTTAGCGTACCATATAGTATGGAAGTATGTGGTTTCGGACGCAGCCATGGGCTGTTTCTCAATATG